AAGGCGCCAAATTTCACCATTCAAATTCGGAGAATTCTCTTCCTTTATTTAAATACCGTATTGAACTTTGTAAAATTGTTTTTAAATATTCGCTGGAGAACGGACGCCTCGTAGAAGATAAAAGAAAAAAAAGAAACGTCAAAGTTGATGGTTATTTATAGAAATACGTGGGGTGTGAAATTTTCCTCGCCGGAAAGCTCATTTCGGAGGAATGCAAGCGCAACAGCGATAAGACTAAGCCGACTAAGCTCAAAGTACACTTGGCCGACGTCAAAGCTCGACGTCATCCCGTGGTGGCACGTGGTACGCGTCATCGCTTATTATTCTCACGCTGATCACACGCGTATTGTTGCGCGCGAGAGCCACGCGAGGAACGGCACCTGTTACAGCCATTGTAGTGCACCACACTTCGGTGGCAACCTGTAAACACTCTATTAATATTCATAATCATTAAAGAAGAGAAGAACGAAAAAAGAACTTTTTCATACCTTGACACTTTGCATATTAAAAGCACGCATGACATTATGGCATTACAACTTCCTGCGATTAAACGTTACTGAAACTTCTCGTGTACACGGTTTTCACATACACCGGGTGGCCCTTAAGTGACCTTCCCCGTTTCGACGAATAAATCTCGGAATTTTTGTTAAAAGCTTAAGCTGAACGAGAAACCTCGTTCTCGACCTCCTTCAAACTTCTACGAACCTGACAAACGAAAACTACTTGCAAAATGAATGTTGCACGAACCCTACGAAGAAATAAAAAAAGTTAGAAAAATTTTTGAAAAAGTCACTTGTTTTCAATCTCCGGGACACCTGTCAACCTTCAAACTTCCACAAACACGTCCAAACAACGGCAAAATAACCTGGCGTGAAAATATTTCAGAACTCAATAGAGAATCGACTCAATTTCCACGCGTTTCCTCGTCGACACTGTCTCCTCCCTCTCCCGTCACAAACCAACCCGGTGAAACCACGGAATCCCTTCGAGCCGACGAGGACAGACAATTGAGCGTGGACGATAGAGCGGGTCGTTGCACGCAGGATCGCGAGCATGAACCCTACGTCCGGGCTGCGTCGGCGTCGGCGTTTTACGGCGTGGCGGTGGCGCGGCAGCTAGGTTCGCGTCGCGGCGCCTCGCGCTCAGCGTCGCTGGGACCGTCGACGGCGGAGGCACACGACAGTGGTGGCCAACGCATCGCGCGACCGCGTAAATCCGCCATATTGGCCGCGAGGAGAACAGTGTTCGAGGCGAGAGCGAGTCTGTGACCCGCGTTCTTCCTCTCTCGCGTATATCTTCACGGGGGTGAGAAAACCAGACAGAGACAGACCGTGTGTGTGTGTGCGCGCGCGCGTGTGTGTGTGTGTGGTGCTCGGTCGAGCGAAGGAGAAGAGAAGGACGAGAGGGGTCGTGCGGTGGAGGAGGAAGAAGAGGGCAATCGCGTCGAGAGATACGCCTCGAACGGTTTTCCACCACCAGTGAAACCAGGGTGAAACACGGACCTCTGAAGCACGGCGAGAGAGAGAGAGAGAGAGAAAGGGGGGGATACGAAGAAGAGCGAGAGAGAGAGAGAGAGAGAAGCTGGAAGGAAGTGTGCTCCGGTGATAGTGGCTGGGAAAGTGTCAGCGCAAAAAGTGTCCCAGTGCTTCGGGCTGGATAGGTGGCTACGAGCTACTAGTACCACCCTTGGCCTACACACCCCTTATAGCTGACTCTCTGCTTCCTTTTCATTGATGAAGAGAACGCGTAGCTATAGAAATCTCTGTGCGAAGATCGTATCGATCGCTACTCCATGAACTAGTGGACGAGAAAAAAAGTCGACCCGACTGTCAGTGCTCTGCGAGGGGAATTGCAACCAGTGCTCCTCTGTCTGTAAATCTTCGTTTCGCATCGATGAGGGAACACGAGTCGCAGAGTTCGGTGACATCGTCGTCGTCGTCGTAGGCCGCCATTCGACCAAACTTCGGATCGAACACGTCGATGTTTTCCAATGTTGAGAGAGTGAACGTTTCAACCTCGCCGGTTGAGAAGGGACAGAGAGAAACGGTGTGATATTGGAACCGATATCCCGATAACAGCAGACCCGGAGAATCTGATCGTCGAACGTTCCCTAAGCCAGTGTCCAGCGTGACACCGCCGTGGGCTCGTCTCTCCCTCTGGTCTCCACGACTTGGGCCAATCAATAATCAAGCGCACCGACTCGTTCACGCTCTGCTCTCTGCCTCCCCCTCTGCTCCCGCCTGTCAGGCCCCCAACGATCTCTCAACCCCTCCTTTTCAACCAAACTCTTTTCTCTCTCTCTGTCCGTTTCGCCCGTCAGTCTCACTTCAACATCTACCTTCAACTCGAGCCACGGATCGTCGAACGCGTGGCCCGGACGACGAGTCATCATCATCGGAACACTACTCTTCGGGCTCTCTCGAATAAAAATTCAATCGTATATACGTATATATACAACAGATGCGTTAAGAGAGAGAGAGAGAGAGAGAGAGAGACTGGCCGCCTGGTGTGTTCTGCTGCTGGCCGATGCTTTCCTCTATTTCCCTCTTCCGTCCGGATTCGACGTGTGTACACTACTACCACGTTTCACGTCGTTCCCTCGCTTCCGCTGTCGCTCTTCCTAGCTTCCTCCGCCCTTACACAGGCTACTAGACCACCACACACGCACGCACACTCGCACACACACACGTTCCCTCTCCTATATACTCTCAGCTAAACAGAGAGAGAGAGAGAGAGAGAGAAAGGTAGGTGGAAGAGCGACGACAACGACAGGAGTAGCAGCGAAGAGATCGTGACACGAGGCAGCGTCGCGACGACGACGACAACGACGTGAACATCAGAGGCGGCGGTAGCGGCGCTCTAGCTGGCTGCCGCGCCAGCGCCCTACACGCAGCCACCTTCAAACAGCCACGAAACCTATTTATACACCGTCAACGTAGCCGACGACGTAGCGAGAACAGCGCCGTGTGTCGGCCGCCCACGCGAGCAACAGCCCGATAGAGAGAACCGCGCCGCGACCACGGACCTCGTCCAACCGAGGAGCAACAGCCAGCGACGGAGAGTCGTACACCTCGTGTCTCTCCTTCGCGAAACCTTCCGTCAGATCTCTGTCGTACACTGAAATCAGGAGGAGAACAGACGAAGACCAATTTCAAAATCCATCCAATTCTATCCTACACACACACACACACACTCACTCACTCTCGTACGCACACACGGATACAGTTGGAGGGGAGAAGAAGAAGAAGGATCTCTTCTGCAGTTTATACGATAAGTGAAGTTGCTACAATCGGAGGAAAAGAAATTCACATGGATGAAGGAGAGACTGTGCGACAGAAGCCTACCAACCACCCCATATAGGGGACGCCATTGAGAGTCTATCTTTCCCTTGGCGTGTGATCGACCGTCGCGCATCCGCCTTCCCTTCTCGCGTCGTCGTGTGTCTGTGATCTGCGCGCTCACGGCTCCTCACTTACCCAGCTCCGCCGTTTTGCTGGACGGGGTTGGCCGCCGCTCGCGGTGTGTCCCCGTTCGTGTCGTTGAACGTGGTTGTCCTCCTATCGCGGTGGAGAGGACTGGGAGGAGGCTCCTGTGTTGTCGTGCAGGCGGGAAATGGCCGATGGTGTCCTGTTGTTATAATGCGCGAGGACGATACGTCGCTGGTTGGACCGAGGTGTGCCGATACGTGGGATCGTTGCTGCCCGATCATCGTCGCCGTCGACAGATCAGCCCGACAGGGTTACGAGAGTATCAGAGGAGGCGAGAGAAGTGTTGCCTCGTAGCCTGAACGGCGTGTGTGTGTGTGTTTCTCTTCTGTTTTCTTTTCCGGTGTCGCCGTGCGTGTGTCTGTCGTCGGTGTGTGCCACGCTGTGTCTAAGCGCGCACCGCTTATGTGTCCGTCCGTGTGAGGTGGAGAGATAGGAAAAGAGTGGACAAAGGCTGGCTGGTATTGCTGTTTATCCAGGAGGAAAGAGAGGAGAGCGTGCTGGGGAAGCATGCAGGGTTCGGGCGAGGCCCGGAGAGGCCTTAGTCCCGCGGCCGGACCAGGATAAGGGAATCGGGAACAGACGAAGAGGGATCGGCTCCGTGCGAGCAAACGCGGAGAGAGGAGATAACCGAGTTGGGATCTAGGGCGGTAGGAGGATCGTCCTTGGGCTGAGATCGCAGGAAACGCGGGAAGCGAGCTGGACTCGCTTTCGGGCGCATGGAACATGATAGAGGTGAGGCGATGCGATATCGATTGAGCCATGTCGATGGCTGAGACGCGCGCGAGAGAGAGAGAGGGAGAGAAGTCTCTTTCTGGGCGGTTTTTCGGATGGTTTGTCGAAGACGAGTTTGGGAATACGATGATTCAGGGTGGTTCGGCGATGAGTAGAACGGTTTAGGGAGGTTGAATCTCTGGGTTTACTGGGTGGACGATGTTGAAGAATAAATGGGCGATGTCGAGCAGGGTGGATTTGAGTTGGCTAGGTTCTGTCGAGCCTGTTGATTCATGTAGAATGAATCGTTGCTGAAAAATGTTGAGGAACAAATGGGTGATGTTGAACAGAGGGAGGATTTGAGTTAGCTAGGTTGTGCCGAGCCTGTTGATTCAACTAGAGAAATGTTGAGGAACGAATGGACAGAAGAGGATTTTAGTTAGCTAGATAGTGACGAGCCTGTTGATTCGCCTAGACTGAATCGTTGCTAAAAAATGTCGAGGAACAAATATTGGAGAAGAAGCGGACGAAGTTGAGAGGACGATTTGAGTTAGCTAGGTTGTGTCGAGCCTGTTGATTCAACTAGAGAAATGTTAAGGGGCGAATGGACGATGTTGAGAGGGAGATTTGAGTTAGCTGGGTTCTGTCGATTCACCTAAACTAAATCGTTGCTGAAAAATGTTGAGGAACAAATGGACGACGTTCGGCAGAGTGTTGCGAGCTAGATTCTATCAAGCCTGTGGATCCAACTAGGTGAATTCACCGTGGATCCGCTAGAAAGCATTGATATGCTTGAGAGAGATTGCTTGAGAATAGAACGCATTGAAGCATTCGCGTTCTTCGTGAATCGAACTGACTTGCATTTTCCAGAGCATAATTAGACCAGTTAACACCGATTCATTTCGAATCGAGGCAAATTTGTTTAGAGAACTAGAATCTAATCCGACGATACAAAGAAAACCTGCAAGTATCGGATATTCCTTAAATCCTTGTTCTCCCGTTGAACACGTTTCACCGAATTCCCCTCGAATTTCTCCAAGATCGCAAGCCAGACGAAAGAACTGCTTCCTTGACCGGCGTGATACGAATTTAGGGTACCGCATTCCTCATGCCGTACACGTGCTTCCCAATAGAGCAACGCGTCGATCCTCCGGCACATTGACGTCGATAACGAGCGTTTCGACGTTTCCAGTCACCGACACTCGATGATGATACGTGCATCAACAAGTGTCTGAGCTTGTTGCATCGGGTGGATGCATTCTAGACGACTCCCTAAAGATTCCTCTTCTGTGAAACTGGCAATAACCACGTCCGGGGGTGGATGCTGCGTTTAAAAATACGTTGGAAGATGTAATCTTAGAGAAAAAGCTCCTTTTTTCTTTTTTCGAAAACAGACGTTTCTTGAATCGAGAATGTTTTCGTATCTTTCCGAGCACGTAAACATTGTGCGAATGCACTTTTGGGCAGCGTTCCAATAAGTCCGCACCGGTGATCCCTTGGTCATCTTGCATCTGTATCGCGATTTTCCGCGTTGCTCGGATATCCGTAAATATTAGATCTCCGCACTTTTTAATCAATCTTTCAATTAAAAGCGTAACATAGCTCGCAAGCGAAACGGGTAGCAGGCGCGCGGAGAGAGAGGAAAAGGGTTCAAGTGACATTTGTTTAAAACTACACAAGAGTCCCTTTCGCGTATTTTCGCTTCAATTGTTTCACCGGAAATTCGCGTACTTTGTTCTTTAACGACTCCCGAAGAAAAAAGGAAAATCCAATGACCTATTTCTATAAATTCCGACTGAATATCGTTACACACGCCCGCGGATTATGAAAGCCAAACACACCAAATAAAGCAAACAGTCGTTTCATTCGAGGCTGGAATGTTTGCAAAAAAGAAACTACGTCGCAGTTTGTTTAAACTCTCTATAATGCAGTTGATTAAACAGCGGAATATTTCGGAAAATGTGTCTCTCTTTACTTTTTAAACGACACAATTTCCAGGAAAAGTGACTCTCTTTTTTAAGTTTTCCAGAGCGACGGTGAATTAAAGTTTCTTCTTTCACACACGCTAAAATGAGAATTTGTTCGCGAAGCAACTTCGATTTTCGCCCCACCAGTTCCGCCTCGCCCCGCCATCGACCAATGTAAAATCATGATTCCCGAGCCGTGGCAATGAACCGGCATGGTTCTCGTCGCCAAAACGCTTCGCTCTTCCATCTTTCGTCCACGCACACGCGGCGCACGAAGGCCTGATGTTTATCAATCGCTGCTGCCCACAGCCCGTATTAGCGACTCTCGTGCTCGCTCGTTATCGTGGCGAAGCCGCTCGCGGAGCGGATCATCGATATACAACGCCGCGTAAAAATAAAGCGGACAGAGAAGAGAGAGAGAGAGACGGGTCGTGCATGCGCGCGATTGTGACCATTCTCGAGAGTCGATCCACGAGGTTCTCGACTAGCAGGGGTGTTCGATTGATTCCTGAAATTTAGAACGTCTTACGTAGCTTCCGAGGATTTTTCGCAAAGATCGCTTCTCTCGAGGAACTTGTTTTTTTAGAAAATCTTCTGAGATTCCACAATTCTTGGAATTCTTAGGAAGTTTCCGAGGGCTTGAAGAATTTCTGGAGCAGTTTTGAAAAGTTGTTCAGCCGAATTTTTTAATTTTCCAGATTTCTCTGAGATGCCAGTGTTCAAACTAAATTTGAAAGCTGAAAAGAAGACATTCTCGTGAGAGTTTTCTGAGATTCCTCAATTTTCAAGCATTCAAGTTTATGTAATTTTCAAAACTCTCAGGCTTGGAGTGTTTAAAAAAATTTCGAAAGCTGAAAATAAACGCGGAAAGCGGAAAATTGATCCCCCGAGGCATCTTTGTCAAATTTGTTCAATTTGAAAAGTTCTCACGGCTTGGAATATTTCGAAAAATTTCGAAAGCCGAAAATAGGTGTAATAAGACACGGTTCCGGTGAGAATTTTCGATAGTACAGTATGGATCGATGGATGCAGCTGAGCGTACGACAATCGTATCCAAACAAATTGGCCGGCTTTTGAGAGCTTATGTGTCAATTACCGTACGGTCAGCTTGTTTCAATTAAAGCTTAACGACTTTATCGTGCTTCCGCGTACGAACTGACTGTGATGTTTTCCAAGTGTTCGAATGAACACTCGTAAAGCGAGAAAGGGAGGGAAAAGTGTAGGAGAGAGGGTAGATTCAGTTTGCCACGATAAATCGGTCCGTGGCCCAATTTTTCTTCTTTTTTTTTTCTCTCTCTTCTTTCTGACTAAAAACCATCCCCGATCCGTGGAAATTGACCTCTCTTTAGTCACTTCGATTCACCGCTTCAATAGACGCGAATATCAGAGCGAATCACGTGGACGCTTTTATACCTGATAGCAATCAATTTCACCGTTTCAATGATTTCAGTATTTGCAAAGTTTCTATGAAACTTTCTATTGTCAAAGGAGCTTCTGTAATTGGAAGATTTTTTTCTTCGTTGAGAGCTCGATTTGCAACAGGAAGAAATTTACACGTTGCTTATTTTCCATATACCAACGATCCCACGTTCTGTTGTAATTAACACGTGCTCGAATCTGGATGTTCGTTCCATTTCGACGATGGAAATCCCTACGTTCGCCAATTCCTACCTTTCCTAATCGTATTCCCCTAATCAAAACCCTCCGGAGGGTGGGTAGTCACGCTCCAGTGAGACTTATGCAATAACCATAATTCAGGAAGTGATTTCCAGTTGTCACTTACAAGCTTACGTAGAATTTCCAGATATCCAATCGCCCTAAAAATCTCCACAATTATTCACGCTACTTTTCTTCTCTCCCCATTGTCGAGTGCCTTTGCTAAAAATATTACCGAAATCCCCTGCTTCCACTTCCCTCGCGAGAAAGAGAGGAAAAGGAATCCATTACGGATCGGCAACAACGTCTCCTCCACAGTTCCGAAATTCTTCCTCTACAAAAGCACTTCTCCAATCTTTCTCTAAAAAAGAAATTACCGTGAAAAGTTCCAACAGCATGTTGCAAAATTAATTCCGACACTGTCGTTGCCTCCATTTTCAAAGCTCCGTTCTCAAAACCTTTCCTCCACAAAAATTACCAAAGTTCCAAGAGTGCGTTGCAAGATCAATTCCAACACTGTCGTTGCCTCCATTTTCAAAGCTTCATCCTCAAAACCTTTCCTCCGCAAAAATACCTACCCAAACTTTCCTTCGAAAAAAGAAATGATCAAAGTTCCAAGTGCGCATTTTAAAATGAATTCCAACCCTGTCATTGCCTCCATTTACAGTGCTCCATTCCTGAAATCTTTCGTACACAAAAGTACCTTCCTAATCTTCCTCAAAAAAGAAAAAAAAATGACCAAAGTTCCAAGAGTGTTAAATTCCATTGCAAAATCAATTTTAGTACTGTCATTGCCTCCATTTCCAAAGCTCCATGCTGAAAACCTTTCCTCCACAAAAGTACCCTCTCCATCTTCTCCAAAAAGGAGAAAGAAAAGAGAAGAAACGCAAACGTTCCACTTGCACCGCGAAATCGGCCAAGAGGCAAGAAGGTTAAGGTCGCGTCGCAGCAAGTGTCGATCAGCGACGCGTACTCCGGTTGTGCCGCTTATTTTTAGCGAACCGACGCTCGGGAAGGCCGGCTGACCAGACCAGATATCATTTGCAGATGTCGAGCGGAATCGGTGCAACTGCAATGGGGATCGGCGTTAGTCACGGGACAGGGGGTGGCGAGGGTGTCGCTGGTGGGTGTCGGCTACGCGCGCAGAGCCAAGGCCAGGCGAGTGGCTCGTCCAGCAACACGCAGCAGTCCTCGCAGCAGCAGCAACAGCAGCAACAGCAGCTCCAGCAGCAGCAACAACAGCCACCCTCCTCGCAGCAGGCACAGCAGCAACAGCAACGACAGCCATCTGGGATCATGGGTCGCTCGAAGAAGGACAACTGTTGCCTTTGCTGGTGCTGTTGCTGTAGTTGCTCGTGGTATTACCGTTCCTGCCTATATATTCATCTTTGATCGCATTGGTTTGACGAAGTTTCTGAACGTTTCAACTGGTTTGACACTAGTCGCAATATAACAATTCCAAGTTTGAACAAGAAAAGTACAGCTGTTTGGGTTAGCTTGACGCAGTTTGACTTCTAATTTCCAATCTATATCCTCTCGATAAATTATTCATCTCACATCTCGCCGCTCGATCGTTCAGTCAAATAGGTTAACCTCGCCTTTACACCCGCGCAAACTGCCCAAGAAAGACGTTGTTATTATTCTTAATTGTGGGAACAGAAATAGCGGCAAAGTATCTAATTAAAATTCTGTTCCATTTTTTTTAATTGCACACTCGAGAGATTGAATCCGCGTATCCAGTCACGGTATACACAGGGAAGAGAATTCAACTTCAAACAGAAGCTTCATAAATTTCGTCCCAATTGACAATCGACACTCAGAACGTATCGACAAACCCTTCCGTTTCTTCGGCCGCGACCTATACACACACGTTCTGAGTATTAATAGCTCGAATTATCAGAGACAATGAACGAACCTCGCCGCAGATGAGAAAAGAGAGGTAACCGTTTTTTGCCTCCACTTGAAACGTATAGCCTGCACCTCGAATGTGGCACGGATCGAACGAACGCGCGTCCATCGTGGAAAAAGAAGGGACACGCGCGCGACAATCGATCCTCGAAACCGTCCGCCGATAACTCGGTATATCCTGCCGCGTGACAAGCCATTATCACCGCGTTTCGTAATATAATCGTTAACGAAACGATGTCAGTCCATTGTCTTTGAAACGGAGCTACGACCTATTTACCGCGCGAACAGACCCTGCCCCACGTATGTACGATCTTTCTCTGTTTCATGCCGCGCGCAGGAATAAATGGTAAGCAGGCCAGAGCTGCGCTCTCGTTTTTTTTTTCTTCTTCTTCACCCCCCTCTCTCGCGAGTGTCCTGTGAATTTCGAACGAGCTGGCACAATTCGGAGCTCGTGCATTAGAAAACGAGACTGTCCGACGGTGGATTTTCAGGCTCGTTTCGAAAATGGCCCGGAATTCCCGCGGACGTTTTCAGATTGCTCGTTGAGAGACATGACGTTTTTCCAGGTTCGAGCTCTGAATTCTCTTTTTCTCCTCGCGCCTAATGTAGGACGGTTTTCTCAAGACAGTTTAATCGTGACTTTGGGGTTTTACGTTCGCGATGGATCTCGGCTCACCGAGAGATATTTGTGGTGAAAATAGTTTACACACAGTGGTGTGTGAGAAATAGGTAATTAATACAGCACGTGACAAAAATTTCTTAATAACTTGTTCCGATGGAGTGGAAGATGGAAAATTTTTTAAATTCAAACGGAACACTTGTGCAATCTGAATCCAGAAATTTTTGTCGCAGATTTTAGCAAATTTTCTTGAAACAGACAAACAGACACAGGAAATACCTATTTAAAATTCACAAGAACATCACCTCATTTTCTCTCACAATTCTCCGCTTGAACATTGCTAGCGTCATAACTAAAAAAAAATTAAATTTCCCAGAAAGAGCAGCACAAAAATGTATCATACAATTGGATACTCGTGGTATAATCAGAAAATTCCTAAAAAAATATATCGCACACCCACGAAGACAGCTCGTGCGAGAAAGTTGAAATTAAAATTTATTTAGTTATGTCACCAGCGAACACCGAGCAGCGAAATGAAAACCGTCCCGTTTCACCCTCTCCACGCGAAACAAACAACTCGTAACAATATTCCCCACGCACGGAAACCGCGCCACAGACGCAATATCCTGCAGCAGACATTCGTACACAGAATAAGCAAACGTCCGTGGGTTGGTTTCGAGCGTTGGTCGAATTTTCCCGAGGATAGAGACGGTCCCAGCCAGGCGATAACCGCCCCTCGGTCGATAGATTAGGCTAGCAGTGACACGAAAACCCCCGTCGGATGTGTAACACGTGTCCACCCCGGAAATCTGGCCTGGATGGGAGAACATTTTTCCAACTGGGTCTATCTGCTTGTTTATCCTCTAACCGTAGTCTCCGAGAGCGTTATTGTCGCTGACTGGGACGAAACGCTTCGGGAATAATAGAGCTCGTTCTGTGACGCGCGGAGAAACACCGACTGTTTCCCTCAGTTTCGCCTTCCCTCAATTTTCTTTCTCTCCTCTTTCATCATTTTTCATTCGCAAATCAAAAGTTTCTAAACTTCGCGAAGTAGCTTCAGTGATAATGTGAAGTTTCCTGTTGCGCCAAGAAAAATTACATGGCAAACGTGGATCATTAGGATCAAGAAGGAAATGAAATTCTGGTGGTAATTGATCAATATCTTCTCTTGAAAAATAAATCTATCTTTCCTGTAGAAAAAATTGTAAAATCGAAAATTCCCACGAAATACGTTATCACACTTGACAAAATAAATCCCAAACTAAACCACGAACAACACAAGAGAGTTTCTCTCTACGATCCATTTCAACCTCCGTCGAATTCATCTTCATTAGCATTTCCCCCGAAATCAGTCGAACCGCAGAAAAACAGCGATCGGAAGGGGGAGAACTAAAAAGTATCGTAAAACGAAATTGGCAGTTTGGCGGCGGTTGGCGGCAACTCGGCGGGCGCAGGAGGCGCAGGAGAGCAAGGGAAGAAGAAGGGTAACGCGGGCGTGGGCAGCGAGCACTCAAGCATCGTCGGCGACGAACTGTCCGTAGCGGGGAACGGATTCGACGGTCTCGACGGCCTCGACGTGGAGTGCAGCCTGGATGAGATCAGGTCGTGGGGCTCGTCCTTCGACAAGCTGATAAGGAGCCCCGCGGGTCGTTACTTCTTCAGGCAGTTCCTCCTCAGCGAGTACAGCGACGAGAACATCGCGTTCTGGATGGCCTGCGAGCAGCTCAAACGCGAGACCAACCCCGAGGAGATCGAGAAGATGGCGCGCTACATCTACGAGCGTTACATATCCATATCCTCGAAGAAGGAGGTGAGTCTTTGCCTTACAAGGAGACGGCACGGTCGACGGGAAACGGATTTTCCTGAAACTTGCATTATTTGAAGATGTCGTCTCCAAATTTAATTTGGCAAAGCAGTAGCTCGCGCTTCTCAATATTTACCGAGAAAATTGCAATTGAAAATCGCTTTATAAGGAGTTTGTGCTCGCGAATGAACCGCAAGCCTAGTAGCCAAGGACGCACGTACTGATTACCAGTATTTCACGCTACGTCCTCTTTTACTTTTACTTTTTAAACTGTTTATTTATAGCATAAGAAAATATTTTGTCAATACATAACTGTAAATAAACAAATAGTTCGATTTGCTTAACTGTTCTATAGACTTATATAGTAAGGCACTTGTTCAGTTTTCCAGTTGCGGCTTTGGTATCACGATTTGGTATTACGCTTACATTTACGCTTACTTTTAGTTTGTTCGACTTAATGTGGATATGTTTTATTGCTCCCCAAAAGGCCAAATAAAAATGGAGCTGTCGTTGCTCGGCGTTTCTTACGCTACGTCCTCGGCTACTAGGCTTGTTGTTCACTCGATTTTCAATTGCAATTTTCTCGGTAAATATTGAGAAGCGCGAGCTACTGCTTTGCCAAATTAAATTTGGAGACGACATCTTCAAATACTGCAAGTTTCAGGAAAATCCGTTTCCCGTCGACCGTGCCGTCTCCTTGTTAGATTTAGTGTGAAGATGGTACACAGGATAATTCGCCTAACTTGATAACTTTCACTGTTAGCCGTAAGAAAAAGTGCACGAGGCAAAAGTTGCACGACGAAAAGTGCGATAAGTTTTTTTTTTTTTTTAACGGAACATCCTGTATTTTTGTACAGAAGTCGAAAGAGCATTAAAAATTGAGCAAATAAGTGTTAGGTTATAATAGGTTTAAAGTGGATATTTATTGAGATATGTGCAATTAAAGTTTATTGCGAAAGGCGTTTGAATTGTTAGTAGCGCGCAGAACAATTCCGGTGCGAATATTTCAGTAAATATCCACTTTAGACCGATTACACCTTCGTACTTATTTTCTCAGTTTTTAATGCACTTTTAATTTCCGTAGAGAAATATAGGTTTCTCCGTTAAAAACAGTCAAGGTGGCCTTCGGAACTTTATGCGTAAACAATGCAGAAAAGAGGTAATCTTGCTGTCTCGTACAGATAATAGTTTACGAATAATTTCAAGCAGCCAAGTTAGGCGAATCACCCTGTATACATACATTTTTATACAAAATCTTATTTAAAAAAGTAAAATATTTCATTCCTAATTTCGAGGGCTGTTTTCGTCCTTTCAATGATTTTTGTTAAAAAAAAAAATACGGGTCGAATATCTTTTCGAGAACAACAGCCCACGTAAATTTGATCAAACTCACTGTACGAGGGTTCGTCAACCTCCTTTGTAAGGCGGCATTTAAAACTTTTATTACACAAAGTCGGGTAAGAGGGGCAAAATGTTCCGACTAATATAAATAACTCGACGACCATAAAAATTCCATCACGGAGCTAGATAGTACGCATATTAATCTTCCAATCAACAGAAGCTTGCCGCTTCCCTAAGTACGTTTTATTATTACATTTACATTAAGATTCCCATTAAGATATCTACACACGACCGCCGCGATAAGTAAATTCTTCAATTAATAAAGGTAGAAAGAGATTGGAAGAACGTCTCGTTCGATAGAATTTCGTTCCTGTTTTCGAGGGATGATAAAATTTAATATACCAGAGTGGTTGTAGAATTTTCATATCTGAGACGCCTGCTGTTCTCCTCGAGGCAGGTTCGCATTTGTTCAACAGCCGTAGTTAAACTTCCTCTCTCTTACAATAACGTGTTTGTTTTCGATGAAAGAACCGAGTAGCCATCTGTTGCCCACAGAACACAGCGGTTAGGCGGTCGCGTAATCTCTAATCGGCCGAATGCTGTGAGAAATCCTACGTCCCAATCGCCACCGTCCTTATCGTCTCTTCTATCGCCGCTCAAACATCCGCGCAGCTTGACCTTGGGAAACTAATCGTAGGAGGCTGTGGAAGCGATGTAACGAGGTCGTAAAATCGGTCGGGCGTTAAAATACGCGTAATCTAACCGCCGAAAAAGCAGATCGAGGAAGATAAGGAGCTTGGGGATCGTTTAGGGTCGCTGAAAAAAAATTATCTCGCGCCTTAGTATCTTATCTCTGCTTCGTGTCGATCCACTTGTCCGACCGATTTTACGATCTCGCTGTATTTCTTACACAGGCTATACCATTCTAACCCCTGTTGCATATTTATTTTGCGACAAAGATGATGAGATTTAAATATCGAAGCTCCGCAAATCTGAATAAAGGTATTTCTTACACAGGCTATACCATTCTAACCCCTGTTGCATATTTATTTTGCGACAAAGATGATAAGATTTAAATATTGAAGCTCCGCAAATCTGAATAAAGATCGAAGTGAAGTCACTACGTTTCATAAATTTTTATTTCTTCCACCGACTATACCATTCCAACCCCTACTATACAATTATTTTTCAACAAAAATGACGATAATTAACCCTCAAATGTCGAAGCTCCGCAAATCTGAATAAAGATCGAAGTGAAGTCACTACGTTTCATAAATTTTTATTTCTTCCACCGACTATACCATTCCAACCCCTACTATACAATTATTTTTCAACAAAAATGACGATAATTAACCCTCAAATGTCGAAGCTCCGCAAATCTGAATAAAGATCGAAGTGAAGTCACTACGTTTCATAAATTTTTATTTCTTCCACCGACTATACCATTCCAACCCCTACTATACAATTATTTTTCAACAAAAATGACGATAATTAACCCTCAAATGTCGAAGCTCCGCAAATCTGAATAAAGATCGAAGTGAAGTCACTACGTTTCATAAATTTTTATTTCTTCCACCGACTATACCATTCCAACCCCTACTATACAATTATTTTTCAACAAAAATGACGATAATTAACCCTCAAATGTCGAAGCTCCGCAAATCTGAATAAAGATCGAAGTGAAGTCACTACGTTTCATAAATTTTTATTTCTTCCACCGACTATACCATTCCAACCCCTACTATACAATTATTTTTCAACAAAAATGACGATAATTAACCCTCAAATGTCGAAGCTCCGCAAATCTGAATAAAGATCGAAGTGAAGTCACTACGTTTCATAAATTTTTATTTCTTCCACCGACTATACCATTCCAACCCCTACTATACAATTATTTTTCAACAAAAATGACGATAATTAACCCCCAAATTTCGGAGCTCCGCAAATCTGAATAAAGATCGAAGTGAAGTCACTACGTTTCATAAATTTTTATTTCTTCCACCGACTATACCATTCCAACCCCTACTATACAATTATTTTTCAACAAAAATGACGATAATTAACCCCCAAATGTCGGAGCTCCGCAAATCTGAATAAAGATCGAAGTGCAGTCCCAAAATTTCTGAACTTTCTAAATAAACCCAAAATATTAACACTAAAAATACAATCACAAAGGAACTATACCAAACGTAACCTCAAATAAAAATTGACAAACAGTAGAATTAACCTTTGAATATCGAAACATAACCCATAAAAATCGACAAACAGTAGAAAGTAGATCCATCTATATGCTAAAGTGTTAATCTAAAAATTTATTCGTCCGACTATACCAACAGCGCTTCTACCTACAAAATCCTACTTTCAGGTGAGCCTGGACTCGCAAGTGCGCGAAATAGTGAACCGCAACATGGTGAAGCCTACGCCGCACACCTTCGACGAGGCCCAGCTACAGATCTACACTCTGATGCACCGTGATTCGTATCCGCGTTTCGTGAACAGCGAGATCTATCGACGGGTGGCGAGCCTTGGCTGCGGTATACAACCTGGTAACAACCAAGAGCACACCGCGGTCAAGCCGAAGGGTAAGAAGGGTACGACGTAATCGTTCAGTCGACGAGCAAACCAAAAAATACGAGGTGGCAGCGGACCAACAGCCTCCGTCTCTCAGCGGATCGCCCGAATCGCGGACGTCCGGGCGCCGCGACGCTGTCAACGCTGGCCGATGACGACGATGAGAAGATCGAGGGACATCGGCGTGGATCACACACAGGAGGAAACAACACTGCTCTGAGGTGTCGTGACCTCGTGCGTAAATAGAAAAGAAAAAAAAAAAAAATGAGAAAGAAGATCGAGATCTCGAAGCGTAGAGATCACGATCGGATTCATTTCGAAGGCAAGAGAGTATAGTTTCTCGAAGCGAAACTCGCGCGACTCGCTCTTCCACGCGACGCCACATCGGGGCCAACGTGTTTAAACGGACTTGACGATGGACTGAACACACACACACACACACACAAAGCTAGATAAACTAACTAAATAAACGGGGGGAAAAGAAAGAAAAAAATGGCGAGGAAAATGTGAAGGAGGAAGAAGGAAAAATGAGAATGGAGACGAGAGAGAAACACGATCGCACGTACACGTCGCGTAGATCATTGACTCTTCCTTCCAGCATTATACTTTCTTACACACGTTCGTTCACACGTGACACACACACACACACACACATATACATAGAGATGGGTAGATGGAGGAATGGAGACACGCACGCGGGTCGATCGTGAATGACGTTCATCTTTCAAGGAAGTTCCTAAGACTAAATTATTCAGTCGATCATCTTCTCTCTCTTTCTCTCCCCTCTGACACACACACACACGCACACACGTACATACTTTCCTTACTCGATAAGGAATAACTGTGTTTTCTTCGTATCTTCCTGCTCGAATTTTCTTTTCTTCGTCCCTCCGCATCTCCCTTTCTCTCTTTCTCGCTCTGTACAGTCGAGCCCCTTTCATCGTATGCATTTAAAACGAAAGATATACACTGGGGGACCGGAAGAATCGATCGTGTCACTGCGATAGAATCGCAAGGGAACTCGATAATCGTTAGTCCTTTTTTCCTTTTTTCTTCTCAAATCGTTTCTCGAGGTTAAGAATCGTTGCGAAGACTGGACAACGTGCACCGAATTCTCGCTGAATATATAAATAGGGGCGCTGCGCGCGAGTGTCCTGAGAGGCGCGAGAAAAGGAACTGCGGGCGAAGCAGCCGATTAATTACTGTGAAAGCAATGTCTACGGAATTTGAAAATGCTCAGAATTGCAAAGCGAACATTGACGTGTGTAACGGAGGAGGGCGAGTGATCGTCGACGAGACATTTATACACGAACGGAAAAATATATATATATATATATTCCTTTCCCTGTCCGTTAGTTTTTTCACGGTGAAATTTATCTCTGTCTACCGGGGACACAGGTATTGTTTCTTGAATGGGGAAAAGGTCGCATTTCGCCTATTTTTCTTGCTCTTGTATTCGTAACGTAATGGCGGACGAGACGGAGATCGAAGCGGCGACGCCTGGATCGTTTGGCGCCATCGCGATTTCTGCAACGGGACCACGAACAGAGTGCAGTGATTATATTAAATACACGGCCTCGTCGATCGATCGCTCGTTTCTTACGAGACGAAGAGGAAAAAGTCGACTTTAATTGTAATATATTTTAATTAAAAGCAAAGAAGAAGAAAAGGCGTTGCGCCTCTTTTCATTCGCATCGTAACGGCGTTACGGAAGAACGCGCCACGCCATCGCGATTTCTGCAACGGGACCATGAACAGAGTGGCGTGAACCAAGTATTATTAAACGCGTTTAAGAAACACAGTCTCGTTCATGGATTGCGCTCGTTCCTTAAAAGTAGAAAGTCGACTTTAGGTGTAATATGTATATTTGAGAATGATCGAGGCGTTACGAAGCATCTGATCGACGTCCATGTACAATAACGTCGCGGAGAAACACTACGAGAAAAGTGTGTATCCGTGGATTTTTTTTTGATTTGTTGGAAGAAAATCGACGTGCTCAACCTTCGATTGCTAATGCAACACCCATCCTCGACTCTATTTTTCGAATGTTCATCCTCGTTCATCATCGACGTTTCTTTAAATACACGACCGCTGCATTAGCGATTCAAGATTGACCCAGATGGAAACCACCTGCCGCGCCTCGACAATCCAATTAACAATGGCAAACTCAGCTTAATTCGACCCCTTGCACTCTGACTTTTCCCCCCTTCGTACTTTTTACCGGACAACGTGCAGAATCTCACCGAAGGACACGCGAATCTCGAATGTGTAAGGGGTTAACAGAACGCGCAGCATCCACGTTACGCTAAGAAACGCCAGCCAAAGATCACACACCAAAGAGTAAAGAAAAACCCGCCATTTTTGCGACCAATCGTATCACACGGTAGCACAGTTTCAGGGTTCCTCCTTTCATTCCCTGGAGAGGATGAAAGGAGAAGAACGGAGAAAGTAGGTATTTGGTACGGGAGAAGAAAGAATTTCCCGAAACGAAACGCCGTTTTCCCTTCAATTTCGCGTGGATCTTTCGCGAAGATTGTCGTCAGGCGTTCGTCGAGTTACTGCCAGAGATCGGACGCGCCTCGATCGATCTTCGGCGACCGAGAGGAAGAGTGAAATTGAGAAAACAAGGGGGAAAGTGACGTGTACGATCTAGTCAGAATCGCTCGAGGACGATGTCGTGGACAATGGAAAAAGGCCTAAGCGGGGAATGGTCGAATTTGAAGCGCGCGAATCGCACCGTTGAGAGAACTGTTCGCCATTTTGCCGGCTCTGCGGAGGAAGATGAAATATCGTGTCGCACGTTTTACTTATTCTTCTCGAGGAACAGTTCGAACGGGAGACTTTTTTTTGAAGGAGAACAATGGAAATTCGATGAATTTCTACACGTGTCGCGATATTTGGTCTTCGGAGAGATTTCACAGAGGCTGTTTCGATCGATCGTGTAAACTTCCATTCTGTCGAACAATCGAGTCACCGTTTTACCCGTGAAATCTGCTACGAAACGTACTTAATTAGCATTTTTAACGTCACTTTACACGGTCGAAGCTGATCTCATCTCGACGGATCGATATTAGGAACGCGCTCGAAGGGAAGCGAGACACATATATCAGTCACGTGACTGGGGTACCATTGTACTGCACAATTTTACCCAAACCGACCACGAGAAGGCAAAGGGACAAACTGAACGTCTCTGAAATCACGTTCCTCCGTGTCTGCATCGTATCGTCTCAAATCTCGCGAGGAACCAAAGGAGAGAAGAATGAAAAATTTCGGTATAATACACACACCACTTGCACACCAAGACTTTCATTTGATACGACCATTTTCTACCGTCCCTAGTCACGTGTCTTCGCTGAAGAAACAAATGGCGGAGGGAAGAAGCGCGAAATCGTCGCGAGCTGATTGCACGAAGAAGCGAAAAAAAAGCAAGGAAACGAAGAACGAGCGTGAACGAAAGGCGAAGAGGAAGAAACCAAAGTTCGCACAGTCAGTCACAGCGTTTGGCTACTGCCCTGTAGATAATATTCTAGATAGTTAGAAGCACAAGATGGCGGAAAGGTATATATATATATATTACAGATATATATGGAATCACGTACATGTGCTACATATGTTTGGCAATTATAAGCGACGGGAAGGTTGCGAATCGCGTGAGAGAGGGAGAGAGAAAGGGGGAGAACGAGCGTAACGGTGAGAAAGAGAGACAAAAATCGCCAGACAGATTTTTCTTCTTTTTACCATTCCTTCTTTTTTTCTTTTTTTTTTTTTTTGGGAGACGGA